CTAATAATAAACAAAATGCAATCTCGGTAGAATGAAAGGAACACAAAAACATGAACATTTGAGTGATTAAAATTGTAGCTAAAAATAGAGATAACAATCATGCATGTGTTTATTGTGTAAAGAGCTTGTAGTGCAGTACAGTAGTACTCATGAATTCCAGGGGAAGGGGGGACACGGGTACTCAGATTTGGTTTTGACAGGGTGTGCCGCTGAAGCCTCGAAACCCATATCCCATTTTTAAGGGTCATTTTGGCAGATTTTTTCCCAAGTAAAGCCCTTTTTTCAAAAACCCTTTTTTCAAAAACCCTGAATTTTTTTTTTTTTAAATTTTAAAAAAGCAGACCCATATATTTAGGGGTATGTTTTTTTCCAAAGGGACACATGTTTACCCATTAAAGTGGCACTCCCCCTCCCCCTGTATGTCTTAATATGTGAGTACCTCCCCCCCCCCACCCCTTTTTTAAGAGCTACATGTACATGTAGGACTATCAATTATATCAATCATATTAAGCTATGGCAAGATGACGAGGTAGCTTACATTAAAAAGAGACAATATGGTGGTAATATCACTACATCATGTGATTTCATCTACAGCGTGACTGTGAGCATACATACACACTCAATATACTTACATGTTATTTTGCTTGTACACAAGGCCTCTTGACATGTATACACAATATGTACCAGCATAAAATGCGCATACATTACATGTGACAATCAATTTCTAACAGATGATCAACTTTCTCCATGCCATGGTTGCAAAATTAAACCACTAAAATATGATGTCGTACTTCTACATATTCCGAAGAAGAGTTTCATGTTCTTTGCAAAACAGAAACGTATGCTGTGCAAAGCAACAGAGGATTGCTTTCTTAGAAGATATAACATGCGCTATTAACTTAACCTATCCTCTTTCATAAGTTCTTACTTGATAATTTGGAATGAATGTGTTAATGTTGTAATGTGTTAACATTGTTAATACAGCAAATGTAAAGGATCATTAGCCTAGGTTCATATCTACCACTGATCTTAACCCTCATTCCAATTCCAATGTATTGTAGTCAACATGTACAATGTACATCTTACCCTGTGGTCATCATGTCAGAGTGATGCTATATAAAGTGGATTGACATCTAATTATTCAGGAATGGAGCACAACTACCTGGTCAAATCGTATTTGCACGAACTATACATGTAGGATATTTAAGTACCTGCATATATGTCTGAAGGAAGCAATAACTTTCAGTAAATTTAAATGTAGATCACATGGATTACTAGTTAACAAAGGCAGATTCAAAGCAAATGTAGTACATGATTTGCAATGTCCACTTTGTACACCAACAGATATTGGTGATGAATTTCGTTATATTTTGTATGTCCATTCTTTCAGAATGAGAGAAAAATGTACCGTATACCAAATAACTTGTGTGTTAGTAGCCTAAGACCAAGTACGTTGCACATGGATAAAGTTGTTCATATAGTTCATGCTTGCCAATGCCAGCTAAAGAAATTAGCCAAATTTGTTAGAAGATGTATATGTCACATATTTCTAAAGAGCCAAGGGTAGATTGTACATGTATTATACTGTAAATGATAGCTCACAAGTAAGGCCGTTAAAAATAATATACATGTTTAGCGTACCCGCCCGCTTCTTTTTTGGTGGCTACCTCCTACTTTTTTTTGAATTTTTTTTTTTTTTAAAGAAAAAAACATGAAAAACACTGCTAAAATTAATCTATTTCTGATCTAAAAAAAAACAAAAAAATTTAAAAGTCGGCGGCCATCTTAAAAAAATAGCCCGACTGTCAGGGAAAATTTACCGAGCGGCCATTTTGAAGAAAAAAAGGGCCTCCTCTTTCCTATTTTAAAAAAAAAACAGGATGCTAAACATGTTTCATTTTTTATTTGGCCTAAGCAATGTTGTTAGGCACACTCGTAGCGGTAGGAGGGTAAATTGCCCAATTCGCCTTGATTTGTAAATATATTTATTTTTTCATATTACCTCATGTTTATTATTGTTCATATTATCACATGTTTACCTGTGTTCATATTATCATAAGTTTATCATTCTTGATATTGTCACATAATTATCATTGTCATACTATTGTTATATTGATACTATGTAAATATGTTTGTACTCTCATTATACCCGAGAAGGGGTCGATAGAGTCAATCAAATCTTACAAATCTCACAAATCTCCCAACTGACTACGTTTAATCAAGGATATTATCATTAGGGTTACATGTGGTCTCAAGTATTATTAAGGTGTAGGGTTAGGATCAGGTAAACTATTTTTTTCCTAGGATGAAGTTAAAAATGTGACTAGTCGCAGGATTTGACTTCGGGGCAGCCATTGTCACTGGAGCAGATGCTGTACTTTCAAACACATAGAGGTGTCATTGCATGTAAGATGAGTTTTGAAACATTATCAGTAAATTGAATTCTAGTAGAGCGAGCTACCTCCTGATGATTGTCCCTTTGGAACCAGAAGGATTTTAACTTTTTCACTTCAACACGGAGCTAATTCCCTTTTAGCTCTGAAGAGATTGATCTGATAACAAGGTGTCTTCATCCCTGATAGCTTAAGTGAATAATTAGTTTCACTCCAATGAATCCCCACCTGTGCCATCTTATCACATCGTAGATTGATTCATTACAGGCAGCCATTGTATATCTCATACTACCTAATAAGAGTACCAAAGCTGTGACATCATAAAAATCTATTTTTGAAGTTCTCAATTTTTCTTCATTTTCTGAAAGAGCATCAAAAATAATCTACAAATGTTGAAAACCAATTGAATATTGAGTATTGGCTGAGATATGACCATCTGAATGAAAAGATTTCCTATAGGAACTCAGAGTTATATTGGTCTGGTTCGTAATGTTATGAGCCAGACCAATATAACACCGACTTCCTATAGGAAATTTATTTATTCAGATGGTCATATCTTAGACAATACTTAACATTTTCAATTGATTTTCGACATTTGGACATTTTTTTTTGATGCTCTTTCGGAAAATGAAGAAAAAAATAAGAAATTCCAAAGATAGATTTTTGATGACGTCACACTTCACCACTCTATAGAAAACTTGTCATAAAGGGGAATGGAAATCTTTAGCTAAATTGTGATATTTAGATTCAAGTAGAAATTAGTATAGTTCAGGGCAATTTTCAAAAGAAATCCTGAGAATCTATCTAGATCTATCGAAAATAATATCGCTAGTGACATTTGTTTGTCTTGCAATGTATAGTCAACAAGGGATCAAAAGATCATGACGTTTCGTACGCCACTGCAACACTTCTTCAGGTGATAAAATATATTGTAAGTAAGCGTCTTTTCCGCAATGAGTAATATACTTAGCATTATCTAGATCTATTTAATCAATGAATCAACTAATAATTCATAAAATCGTTTCAATTTGAATACAAAATGACTTTTGACTCCACAGTAGAAAATCCAAAGAGTGATTTTAAAAGGAATAATACACTGAAATACTCTTTGAACAGAAAGAAAAATGTTCTTTAAAGCGGTTTAAGATAGATTTTGCACAATTCAATCTCTAAAATAAAAATATGACATACATGTCATACAGACTCGTAGGGTACATGTACCTTACAACAGTAGTCTTTGCAATAGTTAGCAGGATAATTGAATTGTCCCGTTTCTAAGTACATGTACTTTTAAAGGGACTTGGTAACATTGTTAAAATGATAGATAGTGGTGGTAAGGTAGTGACTTCAATGCTAGATGTACAATGAAAGATAATCTGAAAATTTGAGTGAAAAAGGACCATTGTTCATGGTACAAATAGGAAAAACTGATCTGATCGATTCCTTAATTCTCCCAACTATATTGTTACAATTTACATGTAATTACATTTTAGGTGAATGGAAATCGTCAAAAAGCAATAAAATGGCTCTACATTCCATTTCCAGACATTTAAGTGTTGACAGATTTTTTATAGCCTGTTTTAAGTCTTTTTTCATGGAAAAACGGTTGGGAAAATTCAAAAATGGTTGGGAGAATTTACTGTTGATCACTGTTAGAGGATGTCGTACATCGACTTTTTCAAAGAAAACCATAGATATCTTCGTGGTTTGAGAATTTTTTTGAGAATTTTCTTCAGGATTTTTTGCATGTAGAAGGAATATAGTAGGCAACATTATATACAAAAATTAAGCAATTTTTTTCATCGACCTTCAACAATGTTACCAAGTCACTTTAAAGGACACTTATTGTACCACAACAAAAAGGATTACCATCATGCATGCCATATTGATTTATAGAACAAAGAACTTTCTTTTGCTATTAGACTCAGCCTTGCTGTGCCCAATCTAACAGGGTTTATCTGCATAGTGTATAGCATTACCATTTTCAATTAGGAGCAAGAAGATTATCAGAATAAATTGTTGAAATAATCAATAATGATAATGAAGGGAATTAATTAAGAAGCATCTGGTAGGCCTCCGGTGAGTTAGATTTCAAATGACATTCTGTAGGATTATCAATATCACCATATGGTATAGATGTAGGTTTAACAATACCATCATATGGTACAACACTGAAGAAGCACAATAATCTTTATTTAAAAAATACTTATTTAAAGTATTCATCCACATGTATGACAGAAGAAATTACCTGATAAATATTTGCAGAACCGAGATACCGGTATATCTTTTTGAAACAGAATGTGATGAACCTGTGTGTGTAAAATCTTGAAATCCAATCTACTTTTCAATCACTATTCTATGATTTACAGAGTGATTTAAAGTAAACTATGTTTCCCCTGTTTAAGTCAAAGGTCACAGCTCGGAATGATTGTGTATCATTGTAAGGTATTCTGGTTAAGAGCCCAACAGGACACTAGAAATAGAAATCAAGTGCATAGAATGATCATTGTGCTTCATTGGAGCTACTGTTTCGAGCCAAGAGGAAATACATTTAAAACTTGAGAATGAGGTTCAATAAATGAAGATAAAAGTGAAGGTTAAACTTACCCAGATTTGTAGTTTGACTCTCTTGTCCTGTCTGAAGACAGTCTTGACCTTAAAATCAATGCCCACAGTGCTTACAAACGCTGATGTGAAGGAATCGTCTGCATATCGGAAGAGGAAGGATGTCTTTCCTACACTGCTGTTACCAATGATGAGAAGTTTGAACATGTAATCAAAGTTCTGGTCTGCAGCATCCTTCTGCCATTTGTTGTCTACTGATGCTGATGCCATCTGGAAAGAAGAAAGAACAAAACAGAGTGCCTCATTATTTCTACATACATATTACTTACTTCTAAGTAGGGGGCATGGAGTGAGATTTGTAAATTTTAGAGTGTATATATGAGCCCCATGTCAGAATGTGTATATTGGGTGTCCATGCAAACTTAGATTTGGGGTGCACCCTCTCCCAAAGTGCTAGTGTTAAGCATCAAACCCTGTACAATGTATGGTACCTTGGTCATGACCGTTAAGTGGTTTATTCACCTGATTTTCGATGAAGGTGTTAACTGTTAAGGGTTTGAACCTCGGCTTCTCAATATCAATGCCCTTTGGCAAGAATTCAATTATTCCTGTGTTACCGGTATATATTTTTCACCAAATATAATTTGTAACCTTCTTACTTATGAATTTTCATCATTCATTAGTAAATGTTTTGTTACTGGGTCTTACCATTGCTTTATGATAAATGTACTAGTTCAACTAGTATATCACATTAACAAGAAAATGGCTGCGACCATGTCATGCTAAAAGGCATTACATCACACCAAGAATATCTTGTTTCTTGCACACTTTTGTAAGGAATATTACACATCAGGAGGCAGGAATAAATCTAACAGTTCAGCATAAATGTACACTTATTCTTTGGAGGGAAGTTTCCTTTAAACCATTCATCCATCTCTATCCCGCCATCATTATTTCAAATTTGTATTTTCATTGACTGTACTAGCTTTAACCTTGACATGGAAGGGAAGCTATTATAGTGTCTGTGAAATAATACCCTTGTACAAGTCAAAGGTCTTTAGACACTTTGTGGCCTGTTCTAATTCCAGAATCTATGATAATATCAAATTTCATGAACACAATTTACACTGATTGGGGTTTTTCTTGATTTTTCTTCTGATCCAATCTACATGTACGGTGGGACTAAAACCTAACTTCACCTTCACAATCAGAGGAATTACTTTTTCCCACATATTATAAGCTCAGGAACAACAAGTGATCATGATCTTTACTAATAAAATCAGATTGAGGCTTGTGTTTTAGAGTTGTATTAATCTGACACACATCGTTTTTAGTGGAAAATGTACTTGGCATATCATTTACAAGGCATAAAACTTCTATCCAGTGATAACTAAAATTTACTATATTCAAGATGAAATCAATCAAATTGGAGAATATTCTCGTACTGAAATCTTTAAAAGGCCTTTGTTAGTGCAACCATTGTCTGGAAAATATATGCACAGCATAACTGAAGTATCAGTATTAAATCTACATACTGTACATAAGTGTGCTTCATGACCATACTTTTTATCAGCTCATGTCCCCCATTTTTTTTAAATTCAACCGTAGTCTAGTTATCTATTCTAGCTCTACATTATACTTGAATGGGTTTCAATGCCTCTTTATGTTCCTACATTCCTCTCTTTATCACTTTATCACTAAGAATTCATTTATACTGGAGTTATTATAGCGTCCTGTTATATAAGCAGTTGGTTCATGGTTTAGGTTTTACTCTTCATTCAACCGAGAACCACATACCAAGGTTTAAGAAATCACAGAAATGCCTCACATATTTGAACAGGCTCTCTCTCAGAATAATACAATTCAATTCATCTTACACATAACTTCTCCCTGTGCATTGAAGCTTCTACTTGTACCAATACACAGAGTGTAAAAATGCAAGTCCCAAAATGATGAATTATGAACATCACTCTACTAAAAAAACAACAATCTTTTTGCAAGTTACATGATGTCATTGATTTGGATGTTACTTAAGTCACCAAGGTATAATCTAAAAAAAAAAAATTACATTAAAATTATTTTACTCTAGGCCATTTACACAGTCAAAAAAAATCTATAGAATGTGAGAAAAACCGATGGTTTCTGCTTGCAGTGTAAAAGCAGCTAATATCACAATCTTTTCTGCATGTCTATAAGAACCATCATATATGGACCCGCAGTATTACATTGTAGGTCCATGGAACCATTAATGCAAACTAAAAAGCACTTCATCTGATATACAAACTTAATCAAGTCTGTCAGTCATAGGAGACAAGCAAATCCAACAAATATTTTAATGGTGATTGTAAAGATTACCAAGCAAACCTGCTTCAACTAAGCCTCAATGATACGATAAAACATGCAGCAAACATGTTAATTGGTGATACTGGTACACAAAACTTAAGTCAGGTTGTAAGACAGATCACTTAGAACAACTTTATCTACTATACTTACTCCTGCTAAACTCAAAAATGGTTCACTCACAGTTAACATTGTCTTACTGTATTCTGTTGAAGAGCAATGTTGCCCTTTAGTAAGACATGTACAATGTACAACAGTACACTATCAACACCATTCATACTATGAGGGATGGCATATACTGTACATGTACCCTTTTGTGGAGAAATGCAGTGATCCACTCAAGTTCTACATTTGAAACTCTTGATCTATAGAATATTTGCTATTCTTAAGGTCAAACTGACAAATTCAATGTAATATGCTTCCATGCATACTATTCTAGCATTCAGATATATCGGGTAGCTGAACTGTAAAGGGTCAAAAGGCAGAAAGATGCATTAAAGTAAAAGAAACATAATATTACCCCCAAAAAATCCCAAACTTACATGTAAATACGGTTTTCAATTCATGGTTGGTTTTTTAATCAAGTGAGTGAGTGTCTCACTTTGAATTTAATGAACAGTATAATGAGCTCACTGAGTCATACAGGCCCGAATTCACAAAGGAGGTTTGTTGACAAACCTTTTGTTTCGTCAAACCTCCTTTAGTTCTTTACAAACCAGGTTTGTAAAAAAACGTGTAAAAACGCGGCATATGACGTACGAAAACCAATGTTTGTCAACAACAAAAAAGTGTCCTCTTACCCCCCCCCCCCCCCCCCCCCCCCCCCCCCCCGCTTATTCAGCGGCGGGCTGAGTCATTGCGAAATTTTCGGCCCGATTTATAAATGTTAAACCCCCCCCCCCTTGAAAAAATCCTGCGTACGCACCTGATCATTGTAGCAATCACATGACATTGAACTCTAATAGGGGCTTCATAATTTTTCTTTTTAAGTTAGTAAATAGTGATCTTTCATACACACCATTTGATTATTTTTATCAAGAGTAAAACTGAAGAAGTGGCCAATTAGATTACTCCATTGCAGTTTACAGATAGTCGATTCAATTTTCTACATCTTTCATGCAGTTGAAGCTTTTTAAAATGGTGAATATATGCTCTGTCTAAAAAAAAATTCATGTTCTGCAATGGAAAAGTTTTTTTTCCATTTAATAAAAATAATTATTTGTTCTTAGATTTATGTATTTTATCTCCCAGCATGCCAAAAATAATGAAAGAATACCAAATACTCAATTTATGAATACAGATTTTCAAACAAGACAATGATATATCCTGTAATGATATGTCATTGTTAATCCCCTCATACATGTGCTGGAGACTTATTTCATTAGATTGAGTAGCTAGCAAGAAGGTTGACACTGGCAAACTGTATTATTTGTGCTGGTAGCACAATATCCTTGTTAACATTAGTGCTGTAGTCAAACGTTTAACTGTCCGGTATCCAACCGCCCATGGCGGATTCCGTTTTCAATTGGACGGTTTCGTTTTCCCTTTTTTTTTTTTTTTTTAATTTTTTTAATTTTTTTTTTTAATTCTTTTTTTTTTTTTTTTTTTTTTTTTAAAGTTTCGATTTATGCCCCTCCACATGGCACTATGCTTGGCAATGTTTCCCAGCTCAGTAATCGGTGTGATGACTCACCACTCAGAAAATAGAACAACACTCCAATTTGTCTGTCATCTTGGTTTGAAATATGTAGTTTATAATAATAATTCATCCAATTTTTTCACATGGTGTTCCACAAGGTTCTATCCTAGGTCCTCTACTGTTTTTAATTTACATTAATGATCTCACACATTCTTCTAAAAACGACATTGTTACTATTCTTTGTGACTAGTTCACAAGCACAAATGAAAGTCCTTCCTGCTGTTTCACACGGACCTGGCTTGCTGACGAAAGAGTCTGCCCACCAAAAAACAAAAAAACAAAAAAAAAAAACGATTTTTTTATAGCGTTTATAGCGTTTAACCGAAAACCGTCCGGTTTTGACTGGCGGTTAAACGGAATTGGAGATATCCGTGATGTTACAGCACTAGTTAACATACTCCGTTAAATACACCATCAAGGTCAACTCATAATCAATACAACGTTATTTTAACAAGGAAAAAAAAAAGGAGAGAGCTAGAGGCTCTATCTTAATTCCTGTTCTAAATCTTCAAGCCCATAAAGAATGGGTGAATTTCTTAAATACAGCTTAAACACATGATTTAAAGATGTTCAGTAAAAATATATATTTTACTTGTAAATGATAATAAAAATTACAGGTATAATTTAAAGCAATGTACTCATGCTCACACATTTGGGCCTACATTGATTACTGGAAGAATACTGAAACAATATCAAATCATGACCAACATCCCCTTCATTTGTTGACCATTTCTACAACACTAAATCCCATAAGTTTAATAGACGTCGCACAGAAGTCGATTAGAGCTATATAAGCATTTGGCTCATTTGTTTGTAGAGTTGTTAGGGACAACCATTAATTAGATTTTGGAGGGTAATTTGGTTGTATTCTTATCATGACATCCTTCTGTGTCGCTTTTGTCTCTGTATGTATGGATCTAGCACATCCCACATTTTGACTGGCCCAGGTACATCTCTCCACATGGTTTAGTACCAGTAATACTAATGTACTGAAAATGCTTTTCATCAAGAATTCTATATAATTATAAAGCTCATTGACAAAATGATAAGTAATTAAAAATTATGAAATACATTCGATCAATTAATTATGTTTTGAACACTATGCAACGACTCCTGAAATAAACCACCTGTCTTCATGAAAGATTGTATGTATTGTGTAAATATGGGTATCTTCCCTATCTGAGATATATTAAACCTCTACCTAACTATCTAATCCAAACTTAGTAGCATC